TGGAGGTGACAATCTTCTGCACTGACTGTAGAAAAAGCTGAGGTGAGTAGCTTAGACTCTGCTCTGTAGACCTAAAGCTCAGTCAAATGACAGCCATGTTTGGAGCACCAGGCCTGCCTCTTCTCACATGTTTGGACAGCATCCATGTATTTGGACAATGGGAACTCAGCCTCAGCAGGGAGCCTGCAGACATCAACAATGGGTGCAATTATGAGGAATAAACATGGGAATATATGCTCTGAAAAAGAACGCTTTCCTCGCAGCACTGCTGTGAAAAATAGCAGAACAGAAAGGAACCAATTCTGTTTCACCTAATTGCTCTCCATAAATCATCTCTTGGCAGCAAGCTCGGCTGGTCCACCAAAGGGCCAATTAAAGCAAGCGGAGGCTGAGCGTTGTCTGTACTCAGGGCTGTGTTTTGTATTACAGAAACTGTAATTTGTTCCAAGAGGGTGGCACCTCTTCCCTTTCCAAGTAGAGAGGAATATCCATGCCTGTCTGGCTCTGAGCCTTGCCCGTTATTCCTTCAGAGCATCCACGGAGCATTGACTGGTGTCCTCTCCAGCACAGCGTTTTACTGTCCAACATGAGATACGATGCTGCAAGTAAAAGCTGGGTGGTGGAAGAAGCACAGCGACAGACAAACAAGGTAGTGAAACCTGGAAATCAGTGGCAAGTACGTATGTATTTTTTTTAAAAATCCCGTGTTGCAATGCACATAGAACTCCTTTGATGCACAGCCCATTAAAATCCCTCCTCAGGGTAACATTTTCTGATGCTTTCCATGGGTTTGCCCTGCTGCTGGCTACCTGTCCTGCTCCGAGCCCTCCCCGCTAGCTACCACCGCCCTTCCTGCACACACCCAGCCCTTGCCCGGTGGCCGGACCCTGCTGGCAGAGCAGCCCAGCCCGGGCCACCCCTTGGCTCTGCTCTGCCTCCTGCGCGTCATCCATCGAGGACACCACCTGCCTGCTGGGATGGCCCCGCCGCCGGCCATGCCGGGCTGCGCTCCTACCTGTGAGAAACGGTGGTTACACGCCGTCGTGAGCCTCTGGTTTCCCTCCCAGGGCTCGTCATGGGTGCTGCCTGCCTCACAGTCACCCCCGGCCCAGCGGCAGCCTCCCACCCGGCCCGTGCCCGCCGGGAGCGGCACC